AAGGTGGATACTAGCGGGAGAGTTGTTAATTCACCTCCCAAGCAGCATAAGAATGGAAAGGGGTAGAATCATATAAGTCCTCCCACAGTTCAGTCCTATGCTGCCGCATAAATGCGTGACTAGGAATGCAAGTGAAACAATCTAAAGACAGTTATATGAAGCAATACACAGAATAAATTTCAAAAGGAGCAAGAAAAGTTAAAAAACAAAAGTAAGAAACAAAGTTGCAATAAATATGGATTAAGCCTCACCACAAATGTTTCCCAATATCCATTGCTGCGGTGAATAGCAATAACAGAATTAAAATAAGAGCAGCATGAAATACAAAGTCACCATAAAGTAGACGAGTCAAAATAGTCAAATGCGGAATACGAGTTACAAAAACCCGAGTTTGAACAGATAACAAGTAGAACAACTAGCAAATAGTGCCAATAGAATAAAGACACACAATGATGTGCGAACAGTGCTTGAGCCTCGGCTAGTGCGGGGTATCCAATAGAACGGCAGCAGAATAGTGTTCAGCAGAGAATATTGTAGAATACAACAGTCATCAGATTAGAATCATAGCAGAATAGGGTAGAAAATAGAAGAATAAGGCAGGAAAGTTGCACTAATCGGCGTTTGAACATAGCTGCCATTGGTCCCGCAACGATTTGCCTGATTTTAAGCTAGACAGTTGTCGCGAAAAGTTGACAAATGTCGCGGACAACTCGCCCGGCGTTTTTTCGTGTTGTAGATTTAGCTGCGAGTACGAAGTAGATGACAGAAACTCGTGCAGTACTCGTGCTAGTGCTAAAATGCAAAAAGAGCGAATAATACTATCTTTATCAGATAGGTAGCAGCACAGAAAATAGTATAAGTATAATACAGCAACATAATACAGCATACAGCAACATAATACAGCAAGTATAATACAAGAAAAGAAAATGCGCTCTAACGCCAAATGCAGCCCCTTTACATGGGACGCACTTTCTTCTCTCATATTATTCCTTTTTTGATAAAATTAGTATTATTCGTTCTTTTTGCATTTAAGCACTAGCACTGAGCACGTGTTTTTGTCACCTATTCCGTGGTGAAATAAATACCTGTTGATCCATTTCGTAATTTGGTCCCTGTTAAACTGTTGTAAGCAACATATTTTTCTCGTTATCCGTTTTTCGTTTAGGTAGCCATGGCTGCTGTGGCCATCGCGCAGAAGAATAGCCGCTACTCCATGTCTGAGAGGAATCTTGGACTCATGATGGAGATAATTCGCAAGGATCCAGAATCTTATAAAGAAGTTTGTTAATGTTTATATTCGTTCCTTCTGTAGGAGTCATCAAGTTTGTTTTTTATGCATTGTCTGCATTTTTCTCGTATCATGGAGCGTATCCAGGAATTCATGGAGCAGTTTGATCACTATCTTCACACTATGAAACTGCTTCATTTACAACCTCAGCAGCACAGGATGGAGCTTCAGCCGCTTCTGGAGTCTGTGACATTTCTTTCAGGACTGGCAAAATATTACCCTGGTACAGCAACTTTTTCTTCATTGGTCAAATCAGATTCATTACCACCATGTCATGTATTTTATTTTCATTTTTACAGAACAGGCAAAAGAGTTCTCTGCCCATTTGATCAGTGTCCTTCGTGAGCAAGGATCTGGTCTTGATCCTCACGTATGTCACCTTTTCCATGTTTTTCAGAAGGAGTGGTCATTATTTTCTGTTCGAAAGCTTACCTACCGTTTTTTTACTTTTCCTTATTTTAGGTGAGGATGTCCTTTTGTAAAGCACTAGTATTACTACGTAATCAAAATCTGATTGATCCTCTGGAGTTCATGGATATATTCTTCGAATTAGTGAAAATAGAAGACAAGCAACTTAGGTCTGAATCTATCATCACTATGTTTTCAAATAAGCTCTTTTCTCCCCCCTTGTGATGCCTTTCCTAGGAAGTTCATTATGTCGTCAATTTCGTCTTTGCTCAAAAGATTATACCACCAGAAGAAAAATATGAAATTATTGGGAAAGATCCAAAATTTCTGCTTTGCTAAATTGAAGGTCTGCTTTTTACTGCATTTGACTATTGATTAAATCTTCTTGTAATGTTTCACTTAGGATTCCCGTGCAATTGTGGCGAGGGCAGCGCAACTCATATGTATTGATGCCTATAGGAGAAGCTATTGGCGAGATGGAAAGTGTGCAAATGTAATAGCCGAGACGTGTTTTCACAAGATTCCTAAAATTCAGGTAATTATTCTTTTTTTGCATCTGAACTCCAATTATTCCTTCTCACTGTTCCTCTAGCTTAATCCCTGCTGTCTTATATCAAATCTTGGTTACGGCTCTCATCTCAAGTTCTTTGGTACTTTTTTGTTGATTTATTCTGGATAGTAATTGCCTTCAAAAGGCGATCTTTCATGTTTTCATTACCTCTGCACTGCGCAGTAGCATTGTGCTGATGAAATAGTTTCCTTGCTGAATTTTCGCGTTCTCCTTCTGTGCTGGAATTTTCGCGTGGGAAGGTTACTGCTGTGCTGTTCTATTCTTTCTTCAAAAGGCGAGCATCCTTGCCTCATGAGAAAGAATAGAATAGCGCAGGAATCCGTCCTGAATTTCAGTGTATTAGACTTGAAGATATTATTGACACTTTTTTGGGAAAGGGTTTGTTTTCATATTTCATTCGTGCTGGTTATAGGTGACAGGAATGAAATTTTTCCTGGGTTCGAAAAAGGACGAGGACGGCGAGAGTGAAATAAGTGACGATGATAGTCAGAGTGAAGAGGAAGGGAAAACTATCAAAGAGGTAATGCAATCTTTCGGGATCGCGTGAATGACTCCTCGCTACTGAATAGTATTCGTTGCTTCAGGTAATGAGTGCATATCGCCATGCTAAAAAGACTAGGAAACGGGCAAAAGATTTGGAAAGGTCTAAGAGAGCTATCAACAAGAAGAGAAAAGCAAAGAAAGGTATGTTTATTTGACGGGTTCATTGCGTTCGAAATATCAATTCAACGTTGCAGAGGGTAGGAGCAAGGAATGCAATTTGCTTGCCATCCAATCCCTTTATGACCCTCAGGAATTTGCTGATAAGTTGTACAGAATGCTAGAGAGTAAGAAGATCGATAAGTATGAGGTGAATATTGTCTTCTGTTCAACTGAGTTTCATTTTGTATTTAACATTCTACACTCTAGGTGCGGCTCTTCCGAATCGCGCTATGCGCACGAGTAATCGGTGTACATCGCCTTCATACCCTTAGCTTCTACTCGTATCTCCACCGCTACCTTCAGCCTAAGCAGAAAGACGTCAGTTCATTTTTAATATTATTTTCCTTCTCTTTTTTTATCGTCAATGATCAGGTCACGAGAATTCTACTCTACGCAGCGCAAGCGTGTCACGAGCTGGTTCCACCTGACACTGTAGAACAGCTGGTTCGCACTATTGCTAATAACTTTGTTTCAGACAGGTAAAGAAGTTTATTTCCGAATGAAATCTACTTTAAGAGTTAAGCTATTTCCGAAAGCATCTCATTGTGTATTTGTTTCTGTTTTGAGTGGATGCGTCGATAGCAAATGAAGGAGTAGTTTTTTAGAAATTCTGCCGAAGCTATTACTGTTGGAATAAATGCCATCCGTGAAATCTTCGCAAACTGTCCATTTGCCGCTACTGAGGAGCTTCTTAGAGATTTGGCAGAGGTTGAACTTGATAATTTTATGAAAGGTTTTTACTTAAGCAAACGCGGTGCATTTTCAATTTGTAGTACAAAACGTACAAGAACAAGAACGTTTCAATGGCTGCTCGTGCACTTATTACTCTATTTCGCTCTGTCAACCCGCGTCTTCTTGCTAGGAAAGACCGTGGTCGGCCAACAGATGGTGACGAAGAAAAAGAGTGAGGTTTCTGTCAACATTGGTTATTCGAACATTTTTGATGAAAAATTCAGATTCCTGGGCTTCGCAAGACCTGCAGTTGCTGACTTCGTGCCTGGCGCAGAGGTCCTTGAAGAAGACCGAAAGGAAACAGGCGAAATGGAGGTGGATGAAGCTGATGATGAAAACGAGTCATTAGAAATAAGCGGTGAGAATGTTTTTTGCCTCTCAGTAAATAAATAATTCTAAATAGCAGTGCAATAAAGTGGCCCCGATCATATGTGTTGTATTTAGATGTTGACACAGATGAGGTCGACTCAGACGAAGAGCCTGCGGCCAAGAAGCGAGCGCTTGAGGAAAGCGAAGATGAAGACGAAGAAAGTAGCGATGGGTGGGAAACTGCCAGTGGTGAGGAGGATGACAAAGTAAGTTTTCGTACAATGAATAATTACCTTTTGGGATAGAGCAGTTTGGCGATAGTTGAAGAATACCTAGAAGTGGTTCTATAACGAAGTACGCCACATCAATCAAATAAATAAGTACATAGATACTTTTTCCTTGGTCAAATCATTCTTCTTTATTATTGGTACTGGAAGCTCCTTATTTTGTTCTGCTGTCATTATGGTGCCCCATCTGGCTCTTACATTCTTTTTTCAGTTCATATTTTTACCGTGTTTGAGAGCTGATACTGTTCCCTAACATTTTTGTAGCTGATCAGCTCTGGAAACCAATAATATTGGGTTGTAACATAAGTTCGTAGAGTTTTGTGTTAGGGTCATTTTACAACGATTCTCTTTGTTTTTTGGCGAAGTGCATATATTCATTCGAAAGAGCTCTTTCTCCTCTATAATATAGTTTTATTCTTTTTTTTAGATAATCTATTATACGTCTTTTATCTG